CTTTTGCCCGGTCCCTCAGGCTCTTCCAGGAAAAAAAAAAAAAAAAGAGAACAACATCCCCACGCACACCACCACCGCCCAAGCCCACACAACCAAACAAACTCGTATTTGTTTTGCAATTAGAGGAGCCAAGGCAGAGTGCCAAACTAATTTTTTTTTTGACTACAGGGAAGTGACGGGTCCAGGAGCAGAGTCAAGTCGTTCCTGACTCCCATTGTCGCTCACGGGACCCATAGATGCTTCCTTGGATGTTTGGGTTCATATGAAAACAGGCCAGTGCTCTCCAGACAAAAAACCCACCCAAATTAGACCCATGATTTTGAAGTCTGAAGGGTCAGTGTGTCAAAGACGGGAAATAGTCAGGGCCAAAAGATCCTCTGTTGTTTTTGCAAATGCACAGTTTCAGAGCGTGTCAGAATTCATCATCTTCCTTACAAAAAGCAGAACGTACATCAACATCATGCTGTTGCCAAAAAGGCACACATCATATCAGTTTATGTGTAGGTCAGATGGAACAAGCTGTCAGATCAACTCTGTACTGCTGTGACTTCACCCACAGCACCAAGTGGCACAGGACGAGTGTCCAGTTTGGACACATGCTGCTACAACACAGGCAAACATGCCGAAGTGAACCTGCAGAGGGGAATAACTACTTTGGCCACCTAAGCAGAAGGATTGCAAAAAAATGCAGTGTTTAGTCTAGAGAACAAAGAATTGAGGGAGACATGGCAACTGACTCCAATTAAATAGAAAGATACATCAAAAAGGAAATGAGTACCTTATCTGTGGTGGAGAAGAGCAGAACTATCAGCTCATCAGTAGTGCCTGTCACTACATGAGCAATGAGGGGAAGATCAGTAAAAGGACTGGCTTTCTGGTCAGTGAAATCAGAAACTGGTCAAAGATACCAAGAAGTTGCAAGTATTTTTTACTTGTCTTCACTGTATGGTGGCTAGGTGAATATCTTAAATAGCACCAGCTGCAAATGGGGGAAAAGTCATTCGAGATTTCTAAACACTTACGCAAAGTCAATGTTTTCAGACCAGTTAGGCTTGATGAACTTCATTTTGTGATGGTTAGAGAACTGGCTCAAGCAACATCAGGCTCACTGGCAATTATCTTTGAGATATCTAGATAATGGAGAGATTCAGAAGACTAGAAAAGGCCAAATATATTGGCTACTAAATAACAACAACAATAACAATAATAATAATAATAATAATATCTGATTAATTATTGTCCAGCCAGCATCACTTTACTGCCTCTCCCTGTGATACTGGAACAAATAAACATTAAGTAGACCACTCACATTTTACATTTGCCAGAAAAAGAAATCAAGTCAAACCAATCTTTCATGGCGGACTAACAGGCCTTTTGGATAAGGAAGTAACAATATATGTTAAATATTTTGACTTCAGTAGGAATTTTTATTCCCTTTCATCTGACAGTATAACACCTTAGGAAACATGGGAAACTGATCTACTGAAATTACTGTTAGGAGAGTCTGATGCTGATTAGAAAATTCTAAGATTAGATTTTGATGCAATGCTATCTATCTGGAGAAAAATATCAAGAAGCAGTCCCACAGAGATCTTTTTTCAGTGTGCTATTAAGTTTTTTCAGTTATTTATACAGTGGACTAGAAAGTGCGCCTATTAAATTTGCAGACAACACTAACCTGAGAGGGGTTGCAATGTATTTGGTAGAGAAAATTCTTATTCAAATTATCTTGATCAATGGGAGGAATAGCCTGAAAGACTAGAACACCATTTAATAAAAGCATGTGCAAAGTTCTGTACTTGGAAAGGAATAATGAATTTCACAAAGTTAGGAAGGGGAATAACTAGTCAGAGACCTGCATTTTGTCACTGGTCCCCATCAGGTCCAGGAAATTCAGCATAGTATTGAGTACTCAGGCTGACTGAAGGATGAAGAGCCTGGAATAGCCTTTTCAGGAGCTGTACAATTTGCTTCTCTCACGTCTCCAAGAATTATTGAGGCTCCCTAATATTTCACTTCTTACTGCCAAATTATTTACACTTCACATGCAAGGGTCCATTGATTTTGCTTCTTTTCCTGATGACTGTAGATCTAGACCTTTTGTTTTCTGTCTCTGAACAGAAATAGTTGTGGCTTCAGCAGGACACTTATGCACCATGAGCTATAGCTGTGGTTGTCCTGGATGCTTTGCCACCATTGCCTTCTGGTCCTTTCAGTATCATCACATTCTTTTGAGACTATAAGGGATATATGGGGCCATCCAACTTTTCCTTTTTTCTCCTTTACTCTGGGTCTAAGACCTAGAAAGTCTTGCTCTGCAAGGTTTCTTTCTGTACCTTCAGGTGGAGGGGCATCTGTGCCTCACTCTTAAGCAATGGAAAACTATGACTGAGTCATAGAAGATGTTTTCTGAAGGGCTCCTACACTGCAGGCTGTCTTCAGCCTGGTGCAAATGATACCACAACATTTTCACTAGACCAAAAGATTGCTCATTGTTGGAACTGGTTCATCAATGAACACTGCTTTACAAGACTCTTGGTGAGCCTGAAGGCCATCAAGAAACAGGAAAAGCTGTCTTCCCAGGAGAAGAGAAAGAGGGGAAGAGAAGATACATTTTTCTTTAGTATTTCTTGTCCCTGCAGGCAGCAGCGATGACCCTGGGTGTATTCTCTATGGGGCTGTTCTTGCTCCTCAGCCGTGCTGCTCACAGAAGGGAGGCTGTGGGGACTTTTTTTACAGGGTAGTCTTTCCAAGTCCCTGTCCTGAACCAGTAAGCCAGGTTGGACTGGTATCATAGGCTGGTGTCATTGGCATACCCCAAGACCTTGTTACAAATGTTTATAAATTAGAACTGCTTCATCTTGACTTCTTCACTGCTCAGTCTGTGATGACTTTGTTTTTTCTGTCCATGTCTTGCCTCAATGCTTATACTCCTGCTCTCCATGTCTTTGTGCGGCCTATTGGTTTTACCTAGGAGCAGCATTGCTCACCTGTTCTTCTAGAAAGTAATTCAGGATTCTGCCCCAAAGCCTCCTTCATCTTTCTCTCTTCAAGTGCTCTTGTTAACCCTTGATCACACTGAGTGTATGTAGGATTGCCATTTGGTAATAGGGGGTGAGCCTTGCTTTGTCCTTCCGGGGGTTCATTCTGGAAGGGTCGGGTTAGTGCACTCACAGTCCTAGGATGACTACAACTTACGGGAAGGGCAGACAATAGGGCAGACATCTGGAAGAGTAGAATGTATTGTGCCTGTGTTACATTGCGTGTGCAACTTGGTCTCCATGTATAAGAGTAGTTATGTAAATGGCTTTTCAAGCATCACCATCTTAATGCAGCTACCTGTCAGATGTAGGGCACTTCCACATCCGTGCCTGAATGGGTGTCTGATGTGGTCTTTCAAAATGAATCTTCCAGTAATCCCTGATTGCTGGGCTTGGGCTTGTGGTGCAGAACAGTCTCAGTGTGCAAACAGGATTCCTTTTAGGTGGTGCTAAGACAGTGTGCTGCACATAGGAGACACCTCCCCAAACCTGTTTGGTGTGGATGTTGTATTTTCAGCCCCAGCTCTTAAAACTTAAAAGATTTGCTCCTGTTGAGCCATACTGCTTGCTAGCACAGAACTGGCTGTAGATGTCACATGTGTTTCAAAGCTGTAAGCAGAGCAGTCAAGAAGACCTACTGCAAAGAACTGTGTCTAAACCAGCACCAGATGTCAGTGTTTGGACAGATGAACTGCACCTGGCAAATCTGGACAGGACCATGCAGGGGAACATGTTCCTTTGAAAAGGAGAAGATGGGATTTGACTCTGTAAACAATTTATTTCTAGTACCCTATTGTCACGGGAGGCAGTACACATCATGCAAAGCCCTCCTTGTGCTTTTCCCATTCTTTTAGAGGCTATACACAAATGACCTCTGATTTTCCAAGTGGTTTGACCCTCCTGTGGAATCACGCGTGTAGAAGGATCAAGGCTGTAAAGGAGCTGACGTTTCTATGGCTTATCTGAAACCATCACATACTTTTCAGTCAAATGTAGCCACTTTTAACCTGTGGCTGCCAGTTGCAACATTTTATTGATCCCAGAGCAAACTATAAAATATTAGTCCATCAGCCGGATGAGCGTGTTCTAATACAGTATACGTTCATTTACGGATATATGCAAATATATACAGGTACGTACCATATCCATCTCGTTGAAAATATATATATGAATATATATATATATGTACATATATTTACAAATACAGAAGATGCGTATGGTGCATAGCATGTATATAGCTTGTATATACATATACATCCATATCTCAGATAATCATGCCATATACATACCTCACATATATATACACATACATATCTCATATATACATACCACATACATCTTGTATATAGAGATACATATATATCTCAGATATACATACCATATACATCTCGTTGTATTCGCGGACATATGTATTTATATATGAATATATGTATATATAACTATACATATAAATATATGTGTGCATTTATATATATATATTCAACGAGATGTGCAGGGTGCATACCATGTACATATACACACTGCTTCGGCGGCCTGCAGACAGGGGCACATCCCTCGGGAACCGGCCCGGGAGCTGCGGGGCGGGGCGGGGCGGGTCCAGCGGCCGTGCAGCGGCCGGGGGTGTGGTGCCCGGCGGCGAGCGGTGACAGGGGCGGTGACAGGGGCGGTGACAGGGGCGGTGACGCGGGCGGTGCAGCCCGCGGGACTCTGCCCCTTTAAGGCGCCCCGGTGCGTGTCCCTTTAAGGGCTGGCCCCGCCCCTCCGCGCGAGCCGTGCGCGCCCCGGCGGCCCCAGGTGCGGAGCTGGCGGGGGGAGCCCCGCCGCCGGCGCGGGGCGGGCGGGGACGGGACGGGACGGGGCGGGCCAGGGGTCCCGGGCGGTGGGGGGGAGAGGCGAGTGGGGGCGCGGGGCTGGGGGCGGGCGCCGCGGCCTTGCCGTCCTGGCGAGCGAGTGTCCGTCCTCTCCCGGGCCGGGCCCGTGGGGCGGGCGGCGCTGGCGGGTTGCGGTCGGGTCGGGGTCAGCAGGTCGCTTCGCCCGGCGCTCACTCGGTGTCTGTGCCGCCCCGGTGCCAGGTGCAGGCGCGGCGGCGTTCGGCGCCGACCCTCCCTTCCTCCCTGCGCGGCGCCATGGCCATGAGGGAGCTGGTGGAGCCGGAGTGCGGGGGCTCCAACCCCCTGATGAAGCTGGCGGGGCACTTCACTCAGGACAAAGCCCTGCGGCAGGAAGGGCTGCAGGGCCCGCTGGCCTGGCCCCCCGGGGCTACCGAAACCGCAGCCGTGAGTGTTGCTCCGCTTGCTGGGCTATGGCTGGGTCGGTCGGCTCGGGTCGGGGGTGGGCTGCGAAGGCGGCCGCAGGGTGAGCACTGCGGGGGAACAGTCCCTGCACAAAGGGGCAGTGGGACATTTTTCTGAGGAAAGAGGCCGCGGGGTCACCCGGCACAGGGCTGTGGGGTGACGGCATTTTTGTGGGCGCTCAGGGGATGCTGGTGGCTGTGGTGAGCTGTATACCTTGCTGTCACCGTCCTAAGCCAGACAGTGGTGGGAGGGGGGTTGGACAGAATCCCTCAAAGTGTTCCTGCTGCTTTAGCTTTAGCAGGCAGCTAGTGCAAGAAAATGTTGACAGCCTAAGCTGAAGGAAGAGGAAGATGTAATCTAACTGGGTCACAGTGTGTGTGTGGAGGGGGGTATGGGATCAAAACTGTTGACACAATTGCCCACTGTTCCCTGCAGGTATCCAAACCACTGGGAGTGGCCACCGAAGATGAGGTAAGAACAGATTAATTCATCTCCTTATAGCTTTTCTCATCAACACTATTTGTTATTTTTTTGCCCTACCTGATGCTAGTGTTTCGTTCTGACAAGCCCACTTCTTTCTCTCGTGCTCCATGGATCTGTCTGTTCATCTTCTGTGCAACGTTTGTAATCCATTTCTGTCTTTGGCAGCTGGTTGGAGAGTTTCTGCAAGCACAGAATGGCCCTTTACTATCCCGTGCACCCCAGACCTTTAAAATGGATGACCTGTTGGCGGAGATGCAAGAGATTGAACAGTCAAGCTTCCGGCAGGCCCCTCAGCGAGGTGAGGGGAGATGGAGTAGGTAGAGGTCTGGAAAAGATCTTGGTGTTATGGTTAAGCTCTTAGCAGTGTGGTCCCCATCTACTCAGCACTTGTGAGATTGTATCTGCAGTATAGTTTCAAGATTGGGCTTCCCAGTACACTGAGCTAGTGGAACAAGTTCAGTGGAGATCAGTAGAGTATTCAGGAACAGGAATACATGTTGGAAGAGGAAAGGCCGAGGGAACTGGACATGTTTAGCCTAGGGAAGAGTCTAAGGGGCAAGGGGGTGGAGTGTCTCGTTGCTGTCTTCAGCAGCCATGGTCAGGATCTTCACAGCAATAGACAGGAGAAGGACAAGGGGAAATGGATACAACTTGTGACAAGAGAAACTGAGTAGGTGTATGGAAACACTTCTTCCCTTGGAGGGGACAGTTCAGTACTGGAACAGGTGCCTAGGGAGGCTGGGGAATTGCCAGCCTTGGACAAGTTCAGAAGTTACCTGATGAATGCCCTGGGCAACCTGATCTCTAACTTTAGTGTTAATCTGCTATGAGAAAACTAGCAACCTCCAGAGATTCTTTCCAAGTGGAATATTTCTGTGATTTTATTCTAACAAAGAGAAGGGGAAAGGTCAGAGGTGATGAGGGCCAACCTGGAACACTTAAATGACGCCTTTGAGTGCTCCAATCCTCACTTCCATTTTTTTTCTTCATGTAGCTCCAGGTGTGGCAGCCCTGGCACTGTCTGAAAACTGGACCCAGGAATTCTTGGCTGCAACAGATAGCACTGGTGATGTCTCTTCAGATTACAATGAGGCTGACTGGTCACAGGAGTTCATTGCTGAAGTGACAGGTGAAGTGTCCCTTTTGGGATTACTGTCAAGATGAATGTCAGTCACATGCCTGTGTATAGTGAAGAGTTAGTGAATGTGAAATTGGGAGTCTTGCTTTGGGCCCAGCAGTCATTGTTTCCTGCAGCAGCTTTAATGGGGTGGTGGGTAGGGAAGCTGCTTTGTGATAGCTTAGCCAAATTGTGAACAATGTGGTGTGGAAGCCTTTATTTAGGTGTAAAAGGTCTTTTGGTTTTATCTTAGATTACTTGGAGAATTTAGGAGAAGCACTCTATTTAAACTGCTTTTATAAAAACTGTGATTCAACTGGTGCAAGTTGGAGATGGTCTGGTACTGCTTCTTGCTTTCATGTTCTCTAATTCCCTCTCTTAAGGCTAAATTTTTCTTTGGTACAAAGGTGAATCTTTGGCCAATATTTTGTGTCAGTTAAATGGAGGTAGAGGGGAGTTACACCCTGGAAATGTGCAAAGTGAATGTTTCTGGCCCAAAAGTTAAGCTTCTTATTTAAAGCAAGCCAGTGCTTTATCTGAAAAACCATTCTGCATTGTGTATAGAACTGTGTCTGGAATAGGATCCTGTTACCATCCATGTCCTAATCTGGAAATTATGAGTAAGATTTAAATAGATCCTATTCTATTCTCCTGGGGTTGCCACTGTAGAAAACTGGGTAGTCCCATTCCTTGACCCTCAGTCTTTATGTTTCTGGGAATATAAATTGGCATTTATGAAGGTCTTTGAGAAAGTCCTGTTGAAAACCTAGTGCTTTGTAGGCTCTGCTTTTGACAGAAACTTGTAATGCATTGCTAATTTTCTTGACCTACACAGTATTGCACAGAGAGCAGATGAATAAGTTGTGATATTAAAGCAGAAAATCATAAGTTTATTCTCACTACAGTGGCATCTGTATTAATACACTGTCTGAACCTGAGGCTTGATTTTGAGATCAGAATAAACAAATACAGAATTAGCAAATAGAAGCAAAGGTGTAGTGGTCTGCCTGTCTTACTTTTCTCCCTATTCCTCCTGATGTCCTGTGCAGAT